GGTTAACATTAAGGAAGAGCAAATAGGGGTTACTTATTCACAGTAATGCAGCTGGAGCTGGCTCACTGCTGACCTTCCTGATGTGCACAGAGGACTGTGGCTCTGCCCGTACATATCGACGAAGATGCCTGTACCAAGAACCCAGCCAAACATACCTTAATAGCTTAGCTACTCAGGAAAGTTAATGCAAGTCAGACGAAGGCATGGAGTTAAAAGCAGGAACTTGGAGCATCATTGAATCCAAGTTACAATTAAGAAGGAATACTGAGACAGTATTTTTAACACATTTTAAGGCAATATATCCTGACTTGAGAGTAGACTGATTTACCTTCTGTTTTTAAAGCAAGTATATGAATAGCAGCAAGAAAACAGAATAGCAAACGCCAGACACTTCCACAAAGTGCAAGTCTTTAATTGGTTTCAATGATACATACATAATTACTTACATTTAAACTTCATCAAGAAAAAAAAAAAAAAAACAAGTATTGGAACACTTCACAACTCAGGAGAAACAGATTGTTTCATCTTGATACAGCACAACTTCACTCCAAGACCCACGACAAAAAAAAAAAAAAAAAAAAAATCAAGTCTGGGAGTTAATCACTCATCAGAAACCCTCGTGGTGCTCCAGAACTCTCTCAGTTCTAGCACCTCTCATTACTGTGCTAGGTCTAGGCTCTTTTCCTAAAATCAGGATTAGAAAAGCTATAATCCCAAAGCAATTTCCTGCTGGTAGCACTAGCAGGTCACACCTCAGCACAGCATCAGCAATTGTCTTCTCAATCTGAGACCACAAAAGCATGAATTAGTGACCAGACAGATTTCACAACGCAAAGTGTCATTTAGTTTAAGGAAAAAAAATCACAGCCAATAAATTTATATCTTAAAAGTAAAGAGAAAAAAAATGTGCACATTCATCATCAAATATGTATCAATTACATGTGACCTTGGGCATGAATGGAACAAACTTGATCCAGCTGTTCATACATCACCCTCACAAGAAATTCCTGAACTCATTTTCAAGCCATTTTATTTCATTGTTACATCTCTTGATGCTCAGCTTATTCACCTATGCTTACAGAAAGATCTCTAGAGAAATTCTTGTCGTGAACAAAGAAGAAAGTCAGTGTCATTTAACCTTTGAGGTTTTGCATTATTTAACCACCTCTGAGCACAGAGACATCCTTAAGGAATCCCTCCGAGCCTTCTAGAGTGTTCCTCACAGCAAAAGCAACCTGCACATACCAGAATTTAACCTGAGTTTCTTCTCTTGAGAATTTAGAATCTCAAAAATAAACTAGCTAATTTTTTATCCAAAGCATCCTTATATCAGCTTCAAGGAAGAAGTGAAGAAAAATCAAACTGCATTGTGCAAAAGCTGGTTTCTTCATAAGTTCCATTTAATTCAGTTTTCAGTTGACTAACTTAAAGTTCATACACCATATTGTGTGGAATGGGACTTCAGCATAAGATACTGAAGTGGTACATAAATTTAATGTTATGTATCAGCTGAAGCTCCACAATGAACTTGGCTCCTACACATGATTCTTTTAAGGCTATAAATATCATGGACTTCAACTTACAATTCCCACATCCCTCAAGTAAAATATGGGGGCAAGAACATGGCAAAAGTATAGAAACAATCCTAAGAGACTGTTTTGCATTTTAAAAATGCTTTGATCAATTTGGACTACTTTGGATTGTATATTTTACCCACATAAAAACACAAAATTTAATCTGTCCATAACAGCACATATGAAAGACAAGTTCTAATTAATGAAGCAGTCTAAACAACACTTGAACTACTGTTTTTACAATATAAGGCTTACATTTTTCCCCCTTTCCCTCCCCAAAGGCTACATAATCCTTATTTTCTCTTCTGCAGGAATTTACAGGTGTTTAATTAGCAATGTTAAGCCTTAGTTTTTGCTCTCTGAATGCTATCAAAACATTGAGAGCTACAATAAAAGCATGAGAATTACAGACAACGTTAATTAAAAGTTTGAATATAAGGACTAGAAAGTTCAAAAAGATTTTTCACTACTTCATACCAAGATTTGGTGGCATGAATAATTATACATACATCAGAATAACTTTCTATGCTTTGCTTCTTCAATTAAGAAAATAAGCTGCCCCACCATTTAGCTAAACATTTATTCACAACCAGGGCTTCTACTATAGAATATCTCGTACACATGATGTTGAATTGATAAGATATACACAGAAGGACCAAAAAAGTTCCAACAATTTGTACAGTTGGGGCAGCATGCCATGCTCCCCATCTCAGTCCACCTTATGAATAAAGTTATTCTGGTGTAAAAAAAAAAGTTTTCCAAGTATTCACACTAGTTTAAAGACAAGTTCTTTCAATGTCAGCTTTCCACAAATGTAAGTGATTGAGTTTCACTCATGTCATCTGAAAGCAAATTTGAAGATTGCCTCCTCCAATATTCATACCAAAATAGCAGGTTTTATGTTAAAGGCCACTGCTTGACATACAGTTAGAACATTTCCCTTCCCTCTCCTCCCCACCTCCTCCTTTCTCACTAGAGCCTTAGCACACAAGGACTTAACGTAAATAGGCAAGCATCTAACTACACACTGCTCAGAAAGAGATGATCACAAAGTTTTTGAAAATGTATTTGACAGTAACCAAAACTTAAAGCTATCTGTACATCTCAAATCCCAGCATAGTACAATTTTCCTCTCAAGCAAGCTGTTAGTGACAACAGAAGTGACATTAAAAGGAAATCAAGCATACAAGACAAAAGACAAGGCAGAAACGTCAGGATGCATGCCAGTATAATAAGCAGGGGTCTACTTTGTGTCAGCACACCTGGGAACTTAGGAGCTCTCCCATTTCAGTCCCTCCCACACATTAGATAACCCTAAGACTGATATGGGCAAAAGCATTACTTAGCACAATATGCTTTCAGCCTTAGGGGGGAAAAAAAAAAAAAGACTGCTGTCACTGCCATTAGTTTTCTAACTAGTTTCCTTGAGACAGATTTGATAAAGCATCACTGGAGAGCACTCCTGACTTCAGTTTCTGTGACTGGTCTAAGTAGTTCAGTGCTTTGTGCACCAGCATAGATTTAATACAGGCTCCAGGACAGTACTTCTTCCAACATACAGTTGGCATGAGAGAAGAGGAAGAAGAGTAGTAGTAGTGATGTGGCTGTAACATTGTAGGAATTGAGAGGGAAGACTAGCAAGAAAGGGTAATGGCTTCTGTTTAACTGCTATATCCTGAAAAGCTCATTCATAGAAGCCCTGGCCATCATACTATCCTGACCTGGGTCCAGCACAGATTTCACAAGTGTTACTTGTGAGGTTACTTGTGAGTTCTCAGCAACATGTTCCATGGTAGCAACAAATACTTCACTCTAGCAACAGCCAAAGATGCGTCTTACACATACAGTTTCAGCACATGCATCTACTGCCCTCTGGAAAGAACTACAAAACCACTAGACAGTCTGCTAACTCATACAGACCTGTCTATGGAAGATGAGCAGACAAAAGTTAGCATGACAGTTCTCTCAGTCTCACTAGTTTGAGATAAGACCACAAGCATCACATGAAGAAAATAAGATTCACATCTCTACTAGATACCACATACTGGTAGTAAAAATATAGAATTTATAGAGCTCATCACACATTTGGATTTTCCCAGTTTCCACCCCAAGGTGGCCTCTTCATGCAGTGAAGAAAATGGCTACACACCACATAGATGAGCAAGTCCCCTAAGAATGCAAGATACACATGCACATAAAGTGTTTGTGGAACAGTTCAAGGTAAAAAATAAAAAAAAAAAAGTGTGCTTTATCTTCTACTAGTCTGTAAGTGATTTAAAGACTTGCTCCTGATAAGAATTACCAATAGGAGAAATGCACCTCAGAAGCTGAATGTCAAAGAAACCACTCAATTCCCATCCACAGGTTTAAGAGAGATAAAATAATTGTGCAAGTTCTGAACAAATAAATTTGAGAAAAGCACAGCCTGCTTCTAGCTATTTTATGACTTACAGGACAATAAACTCATTAGATTGCTCATTATTCTGATATAATCAGTTAGAACTGTACCTAGAAATCAGTAGTTGTGTAACATAATGTGGAAGGAGGGAGAAAGAAAAACAACCCATCTCTGGGTTTGTGACACCCATTTGTGTCACAAACAAACACAACAAATTACTTAAGTGACCTAAATCATGCAGGAACGCAACATAGCCTAGTCTAACAAGGCCTAACTTTACGTACATCTGTGAAAATAGAGCTAGCCACAAAACCTTTTTTTTTTTTAATATCCAATATACATATTAGCAAGGAGACTTACTATAAAAAAAAAATCCAACGTCATTACTATGTTATCAAGCATACTCTTTTAGTAGTATAACCACTACCACTACACTGATATCCTGGCTTTTCTGAAAGCGCATCTACCCCAACCAGCATGGAAACAACATTAGAAAGAGCACTAACTTTCAGACAGAAGATGGACTGTTCTTTCCCTCAAAGTGAGGTATCAGAAACCTCATCAGCTTGAAAGAGAGGGAGTAATAAGTGCACCACAAGTTCACGCAGCTTTAGCAGATGCACAGCTTAGCTGAGGCAACCAAGACCATCCATAAGATATCTCTTGCATGCCAAGCCCAGAAAGTGTTTGCAATAATCTGTAGATGAGTAAACAGAGTAATATTTTCTTTTATTAAGACACACAGAATGACAGAATGCTTGATTAGCATCTGAACTTTTGCCTTTAACATTCTTTCCATTCCTCCTAAACCTTATTCTGAGGGCTAAGATGATTTTCAGCACCTTGAAGTTGTAGCAACCTCCAACAATACTGCAGCAAACAGATACTCAGTGTTTTCCAAATACATTTGAAAGGTGCCAATAGAAGTAATTACTGTAAAAATATATGGAAGCATTTAAGCATGTGCAGCATATTGCTTTTACTAACAGAACCGTACTTTTAGAAGCAATAAAGCTCAGCACTCTTACCTTCCTTAAGTTGTATTAGAAGTAACTGTTTGTGGTTGACTGAAGCTTCTGTTAATGGAATTTGAATTGAGTGCATTTTCTCCACCTCCTGTTTCATCCTGTTTCAACATACATCTTGTGCCTGAAATAGGCTAGGAGTTGCTCTCCTGCACACTGGTTAACTCATCATCATATGGGGAGTTATCTTTGCCTTCGCAGGGCTCTCCTCAATCTTGAGCTGGATTCAAATTACAATTCCAGTGCTGCTTCCAAACAAAGTCACTTATTTGGCAGAAAGCAGCCCACACCAGCTTCACATCTTGTTCATTGGTGGTGCTTCTGTAGCAGCACTTCATAACAGTTGGAAAAAGAGCCATTATTTGCTCCTAGAACATTAGGCAATTATACCCAGCTGATCCAGCTCTTCATTTCAGTACTTCAAACAGGTGTAGGATTTTTACCATGAGTTCAGCAGCCACAGACTTTATGGAAAGCTAACATATACATGAAGAGCCATAGGAGATCCTCACCATTCTCGTTACAGGAGATATTTTTTTGTTCATTCTCTCACTGCTCCCTGGCTGCATACCCCTTCTGGCAGGGCATCACAGGCTTGTCCTTGATAAGATATCCTCTGTGCTGCTTGAAGGCCTTGCAGGGATCTCTGTGCACATCAAAGTACAAGCAAGAACAGGCGAGACAGTAGCACCAAGGAAATCCCAGAGCAAGAAAGGAAGGAGGCTCACCAGCCAAGGTCCAGTCCCATAGCATCTAAGAAATGAGGGTCTAGAGGTGACCAGCTCCAACTAATAGCCTAGCTCATCAGGCAGACTCCTAGTGATGAGCAGGTCTGAGGCCAAGCTACGAAATCAATCTACAGATCAACATTACGATCAGGACCAGCATTTACTAGGCAGATCTATAGCAAAGGTAAAGGTCAAGACAGGAAAACAGTTTTCAGATTAAGATCAAAAAACTCTACATCCATAGAAACGTAGCAATCAACCCCCTTGGCAGGAAGCTCAAAGAATAGAAAGAGCCCAGAGGTCAGCTTAAATAAAGCTTCTAGGCCCGTATATGTGGATGGAGAACCAGGTGAGACTGTTTAGGCTCATTAGTGCTTATTAGCCCTGTCAGGGCCTTAACAACATGTACCTGAGAGCAATTGCAAATTATGCAGTTTCTCTCATAGAGCATATTAACACAAATTGAGTTGTGATTACATCAAGATGGTTTTTAATTTCTTCTCTTAGCTGGGTGGTTTCCTTCCTCACCTATCCCCAACCAAGACCTGCCCCATCTACATATCAGAATAAGATAAAATCAATGAAATACTTTATTTTTATATGCTCTGGTATGTTGTTTTGGTGACTTTATTATTCTATCTCCATTCTCAGAGACCTTCTGAAAACTAACTACGTAAATACTGCTCCCAGTGATGCATACACCATGCTCAATGGCTGTGGAGGTCATAGTAGGTCCTGTAGTATTTTTATTTTTCTATTAATTTTACTCTACAAGGAAATTAAGCATCAAATTGCCACCCAGGTCTGTGTGAAACTTATATGCCATTGCAAAGTCTTTTTAGGAAGAAAACTTTGCTATTACATTACTTAAAATAGTGAAAGTAATAATAGAAAGGTGTTGAATCATTAAGGTTGGAAAAGACCTCCAAGACCATCTGGTCCAACCATCCCCCTACCACCAATGTCACCCACTAAACCATGTCCTCAAGTACTAGGTCCAACCTCTCCTTGAACACCCCCATGGATGGTGACTCCACCACCTCCCTGGGTGACCCGTTCCAGTGCCTGACTGCTCTTTCTGGGAAGAAATGTGTCCTAACTTCTAAGATAAACCTCCAGTGGCACAACTGGAGGCCATTCCCTCTAGTCCTATCACTAGTCATCTGTGAGAAGAGGCTGACCCCCAACGCCCCACACCTTCCTTTCAGGTAGTTGCAGAGAGCAATAAGGTCTCCTCTGAGCCTCCTCTTCTCCAGACCAAACACCCCCAGTTCCCTCAGCCGCTCCTCACAGGACTTGTGCTCCAGGCCCTTCATCAGCTTCGTAGCCCTTCTCTGGATATGCTCCAGGGCCCCAATGTCCTTCTTGTAGTGAGGGGCCCAAAACTGAACGTAGTACTCTAGGTGTGACCTCACAAGAGCAGAGTACAGGAGGACGGTCACCTCCCTGGTCCTGCTGGCTGCACTATTCCTGATATAGGCCAGGATGCTGTTGGCCTTCTTAGCCATCGGGGCACATTGCTGGCTCCTGCTCAGGTGAACATCAATCAGGAACCCCAGATCCTTTTCTTCTGCACAGCTTTCAAGCCACTCTTCCCCAAGACTGCAGCATTGCATAAGGCTGTTGTGGGCAAAGTGCAGTGCTTGGCACTCAGCCATGCTGAAGCTCATCCCGCTGGCTTCTGCCCATCGACCCATCCCATCAAGGTCCCTCTGCAGGGCCTTCCTGCCCTCCAGCAGATCAACAATTCCCCCCCAGCTTAGTATCATCTGCAAACTTGCTGTGGGTGCACTCAATTCCCTCATCCAAATAATCAGTAAAGATATTAAAGTGGATGGGCCCCAACGCCGCCTCCCGGGGAACACCACAGGTGACCGGTGGCCAGCTGTACGTCACTCCGTTCACCCCTGCTCTCTGGGTCTGGTTGTCCAGCCAGTTTTTAACCCAGCAAAACGTGTACCTGTCCAAGCCGTGGGCTGCCAGCCTCTCCAGGAGGATACGGTGGGAGACTGTGTCAAAGCCCTTGCTGATCTCTAGGCAGACTATGTCAATGGCCTTTCCCTCATCCGCCAGGCGGGTCACCCTGTCATAGAAGGAGATGAGGTTGGTCAGGCAGGACTTGCCCTTCATGAAGCAGTGCTGGCTGGCCCTGATCCCCCAGTGGCCCTACATATACTGTGTGACTGCATTCAAGATGACCTGTTCCACCACATTTCCTGGCACCAAGGTCAGGCTGACAGGCCTGTAGTTCCCCAGGTCCTGCTTACTGCCCTTCTTACAGATGGGCATCACATTAGCAAGTCTCCAGTCATACAGGACCTCTCTGGATGACCATAACTGCTGATGGATGATAGAAGGCAGCCCAGCAATCACATCCACCAACTACCTCAGCACCCTCAGGTGACCCATCTGGCCCCATGGAAGCGTGACAGTCCAGGTGGAGCAGCAGGTCTCTAACTGTTTCCACCTGAACTGTAGAGGCGTTCTTCTGCTCCTCATCCCAGACTTTCAGGTCAGGAGGCTGAGTACCCCAAGGATAAGTGGTCTGGCTAGTAAACACAGATGCAAAGAAGGCATTAAGAACCTCAGCTTTAATAAACCTCAGCCAGATAAAAATCACAGAATCACAGAATTTCTAGGTTGGAAGAGACCTCAAGATCATCGAGTCCAACCTCTGACTTAACACTAACAAGTCCTCCACTAAACCATATCCCTAAGCTCTACATCTAAACATCTTTTAAAGACCTTCAGGGATCGTGACTCAACCACTTCCCTGGGCAGCCTGTTCCAATGTCTAACAACCCTTTCGGTAAAGAAGTTCTTCCTAACATCCAACCTAAAACACCCCTGGTGCAACTTTATCCCATTCCCCCTCATCCTGTCACCAGGCACGTGGGAGAACAGACCAACCCCCACCTCGCTACAGCCTCCTTTAAGGTACCTGTAGAGAGCAATAAGGTCGCCCCTGAGCCTCCTCTTCTCCAAAATCCTTCACCAGGGTTTTGAGTCTGTCCCACCATGGTTAAAGCTTCAGTTTAACCATGTGCTCTGTGCTAGTATGATCCATCACTGGCAGAAAGGAGTTACATGTTGCACACAGATGGTTAATCAGGTGGTGACAAACGTCCCATCCTGTCTTTCAGTAGTCCCATTTTTTCTAACCCACTGTCACTGTGAGCTTTGCATTTTTTATTTTTTTTTTCCCTGTGCAGGTTCTTCAGATATCTTTTGGGGAAATCAACTGGACAATATGAGCAATTAGCATAGTGATGCAAAAGCTAATTGCACTAATTACTTGCTGGATAGCCAAGAAGGAAGGTTAAGAGACCAAGGCCACTTAATAAAGAAAGGACAGACAAAAACAGGTCTCTTAAGGTGCTAAAAGAAAGGGAACTCATACACATAGAGTGTAGCTGGTAGCTGAAGCCAATATGCTTTTTTTTTTTTTTATCTGGTTTTCAGGTAGCAGGTTTGGCAGTGTTCTTTGGCCTTCTGCCTTATTTACAAAACCCTCTGGCACTGTGACACTTCTCTATTTAAGGGAGAAACAGCAATGTGTTTCTCATGCATGCACCAGTGGAGGCGACCAGCTAGGAATCACCTCTTTTTTCACTGAAAAATCCTATTCAATTGTCTGAGAAAAGGCTATAAGTCTATGAGGAGACTGCTTTGATATGGCTCCCAGTAAGGGCCACTAAGCAACGTGTAGACAGTGACTCACAGTTGTAGTGGTCTGCAATTGGAAAAGAAAGCAATTAAATATCTTCCTGAGGTATAGGAATATATTAATCCACTATTCCCCCTCTACATACAAACAGACTGCATCATTCAAAAAGACAACAGCCAGAAGAGAAAATATGGTAATAGCTGGTTCTAAATAAATAAATAAAATAATAAATTGTAATAGTTTTCAGTTAACTGAAGCAAATGAGGCTAATTTGGGAAGGATAATACTAGTCATAAAAGTGAAATAGTTCAGACAGAAGTTTTAAGCAAACAGAAGGTGAAAATCCAGAAGAGTTTGTGACTGATTTAAGGTTAAAGAGCTAATCTTGCAATTGCAGTTAGCAATCACAGTAATTGAGCTCTTGATAAGAGACCAGATGGTGATTACAACTTGCAAAAAAACATCCAGTGAAACTGATTTCTAGAAGTTTGGGATTAATAATTAAACTAAAAAAATAAATAAATACAGAATATATCAAACAAAGGAATTTGTCTACTCTAAGTTGATACAGGGCCCTGTCTAAAGTGTTTGATGCCAACGCCACTACAGAAAACGTAAAATAACATAATGACATAAACAGAACAGCTTGAAAGTCTCCAAGAAAGAACTCAGAAACTTAACACAAAGAGCTGCATTAAATACACTCATAAGATAGCAAGTCCTAAGTCCCTTAAGACTGGGAAAATAAAACTCAGTTTCCCATAAATGCTGTCAAACAAGGAAGTGTTACAGTCCTTCTAAACTGATGAAGCCAAACCTGGATACCACTGCATTATATCTCACAGGTTGAAGAATAGACCATCACTCAAGGTATAGAAGGTGACTAGGACTCTGTCCACATGTAAAAATTTAAGTCATTATATGATGCCCGGATGAGGTGAAACAGCCATAAATGATATATGACTTTGTCAAAATGGGCCTGACAAATAGTCTCCTTCCCTAAAGCGGGAATATGTGATTTTGTTTGTTTCTTTCTTTCGGAGGGGTTTCTAATCTACAATGTATGAATTATAAAATTAATGCAAAGTTGAAAAAGATTTAATAGCTACAGGCACACACTTGTTGACAAAAATCTATGGAGCTGAGTTTAGACCTGCAGTACATACACATCACTGGGCATTCTTTTCTTTCAGTTTAATCTCAAAAGGAGTGTGAATTGTACCTGTGAGGTCAACTTTCAAAGCTGAAGATGCCTACAGAAAAAGTTACCAACATTATCATATTCTGATCAAATAATAATAATAACAATCTAACTCAAGATTGTTATTATTATTATGATTGTTGATTTCAATACCAATGAAAAGGAAGAGGAAGAGGAAAAGGGAAGGGGAAGGATACATGGAGCAAGGTGTCTGGGGAATAACTGATGTCCTAGAGCAAAGCAGACACAGATATATGAAAGCTTGAAGAACAGGAGAACAACTGTCCTAGACAATTGTCATTTCCAATTCAGCCCCTCTAAAAGATTCTGCATATAAAGAGTTGCTTATCAATTCCTATTTTCATTAGACACAGTTGTGCTACTCATACAATCTAATTTCAGCTATTCGAAG